AGTTTAGTTGGTTCGATTGAACCAACTAATAACCGAACCAGGACCGAACCAGACCTAAAATCCTGGTTCGGTCACTTGGTTTACCCAGGCGCTCGCCCGAAGCGCCCAGCGCCTGGGCTCGGGCGAGCGCCCAGGCGGCACCTATTTGAAGCGCACCGCCTGGGACATTAGCAAGGCGCTCGGGCCTCGCCTCGCCTCGCCCGAGCGCCTAGGCGAGCGCCCGAGCGCCTCTTTCAATCACTGCGCTATCATACGCATCTTTTTAAAAAATACATAGATCATCCACAATGCAGGTGTCGGAACAACTCAATGTTGTCATGGGCTTCACCTAGGCTGCCTAAGAAGTCTGCCTGGCCTTGCTTTTTAAGTTTCAGGAGAAGCAACAATCTAAAAACCCAATTGGAATTTATGAAGCTAACTAGATCAAAGGCTACTTTTTTTCTCTAAAATAGCTGCTGGTTACAAATACTTATTAGCATGGAGTAACAGGATTTGACTTTAAAAAAAAAAAAAAACTTAGAAATGTTTGTCGTTTTAAGTGACTCTAAATGTACTTGTGCCACAAACATTGACAATTATGATAACATCAGTTATTCAGTTTTCTGCTTTTTCAACCAAAATACATCATTGTACCATAATCGTCACCATATGCTTTTTATTTTTCTCATGCGTTTTGCTGATGTTGGCTTCTAAATAGTGGAAAACCTGTAAAAGTACATTTAGGTAAAATTTTATAAGCCCTAGAATTAGAATTAGAATTGGAATCCCCACTATAAACTGATGTTCAAAACACTATCTCATGTGTATCTCTATTGAAAAGTTAATGGAGGACCGCATATGACAATATGTTCTTTTGGGACATATGAGATTTTAAATGTTTGGACTTCAATTTTTATACACATATATTATAGATTATATTATCTTTATGATGTTTTCTTCAAAAAGGCATCCGCCTGCAGCTAAGGCTACTGCCCAAGCCTTCAAGAACTAGTGCCCAGGCGGTTTGACTTTGGAATCACAACTCTGTTTTTCACCACCTTCAGTTTTCTTGAAAACAAATTTCCCAGAAGAAGGTAATAGAAGTGTTGTCCTATCACGACCCGGCCTGCCTTGGTACTAGGTCGGGTGTGATATCAATTGTCACGACCCGACCAAATGGGATAATAAACCTACTAACCTTGTAGAGCCTTGTTTAGCTTGAACCACTAGTTCAAAATGTTTAAGCTAAGTTCACAATAGTACACCCATCGGACCTTTGTAAATCAATTTAAGTGTTGGCTCACTTCCGATGAGCAGCTATATTGGGGTGTTATTCACCATCAATGATTCCATAACAAGAGCGTTGTTAATATATGGTGTTCCACAACCGAAGGAAATTTATAAAATTCAACTATTCTTCATGCAACTCAGTGTTGAAACTAATAACCACATAATCCTTATACATTAACCTTGCGTCATGAGACACCTCATATAACCTCAGAAAAGTACAGCATCAGAGACGCTTCGAAACTGCAAACAGTTACCAAATACCACTTATGGAATTAGAAGTCCTACAGGTATCCCAACACAACTAGTGTACCTGTAATAATTTGTTCATAAGCACTTGTAATGTGAGGTTGATAAATTTTCAGAAAAAAACAAAACATAAATTTCGTTTTTGTCAGTATGTCCGATGCCATACATAGTAAGGCACAGACTAAACTTATGCATCATAGCAAAAACCAAAACTACATATATAAGGATATAGCAGCAGTCAGACATGGTTCAGACCTATGCCAACATGATACAGCATGCCCAGCCATTAGATTAAAAGGTTTCACCTTAAATCATGGAAAAAGTGAAAGTTTTCCCGTATAAGAAGGATTAGTAGACACTCGCATGCAGCAAAAGGAAAAAGGCAAAAGAAATCTCTATTCTCACCCATAAGTGACTGACAGAGCTCAAGGACTCCTTTGCACTGTTCCAAAACGAAATAAATGGCATCTTCAACATATTGCAGAAGTGAAGGGCTTCCATTTTGATCCTTTCTCTGACAGAGATAGGATGTCCAATTTGCAGAAGCTCCAACTGAGATTTGGAATCTGCCTCACGCAGAATGGTCTTACTAATACTAGACTCGGATGCTTTCTCCACCTGAGGTCCAAGCAACTCCTTCTCACTCTTCCATGGTTTAAATATCAGTTTGCTCCTCTTAGCACCTGAGCCAAGCCAGTTTGACCAAAACCTAGTAGACAAATCAGTGAATCCATCGGTGGTAAACACTCGACCATCAGAACTCTCCGGCTTAAGGTCCACAGTGTTCCGTTCACCCGAACTCTGGGTCCAAAGACCAGCACCTGTAATCTGAAACAATTAACATGAGTTATTACATTTGTAAATAGCAATAGAAGTATAAAATTAAAATGAAAACTTCCCTGAACAAGTGCCAACTCTCAAATGATAAAGAAGCAAAGCGCATATGAATAGAACATCAAAAAGATGGAACCAGAAGATGCTCCCAGTGAGGACTATGTTGATGAAGATGTATACAGTAATATGTCATATAAAAGGCACACATATATTCATATATATAGGTAAGTATACAGTAAATACATAATGTTCCTATGGGAAAAAGAAAGATGCTGGGTTAATTACTGCACAAGATCATCCAATGTGAAATCAAGCACCAATTCCGAACATGTTAGTTTAATCAAGTTGCCAACAGTCAACATGGTGCGAAAACAGCACCATGTAAAACCAGCCTACATACCTTAATCTGAACTAGCTGAGCTTCACCAAATTCGATTCCGGAGAGTTCACTCGAACACCCAGGCTAAACACATAAACACAGAAAATAAGCAAGTTATACAAAATATTGAAAGTAAAAGTAGTAAACAAGCAAATAGAAGCATTCTTTCTCTCTCTAGACATCTGAGTGAGTTTAGTGGTGCTGAAATATTGTCAAAATTAACGGACAACATTACAAGATGATTATCAAATGCTCAGAATCATTACTCTCCGCATACAACAAAAAAAAATCTACACTAGAAATACAGCTATCTGCTTATGCTGTAAAGTATGACGAGCATTTAGACCTCAAAGTGCATTCAAATGGTAGTCCCAACCTGGGATTACCAAATGGCTAAGCAGGTTTTCTTTAGATTTAAATTCAACATAAGCATAACAGCAACCACATGGACTTATGAGGTTATGACAATGTCAAAAGCCAGAGTTGGTCTGAAAATTAAAACAAGTGAAATAATTTTGACTGAAAAAAATTAACCATAACAATTAACTGTCATTCCAAAAAAAAAAAAATTGAACATCAGACATTAGAGTATGCTGATCTACCAAAATAAAAGAACCACCACCTATTCAGAAAGACATATTTATTTTCTTGTATTCTTTGCATAAAGATCTTCATTACCAAAATGGCAAAAGGGTGGTGCAGAAGCATATCCTGGTATTTCTGCAGATGGAGAATTCAGAGAAGAAACCCTGTAATAGATTCAGGTTGCTGCAGTTGCGAGAAAGAAGTTTTCAAGGAAACAAGAGAGAATGAGGTTACCCCAAGAAACAACTAGGTAAAGTAGCAAGATCCCAAATAAAAGGGCAGCACCCTGCTCAGATGATCGACTAACATGTACCTTGGGCATTCAGCTTAGATTTGACAAGTTACTAGGGAAAAATAAGCAGATTCATCATGTGGGCCCAATGAGCTTTGTATTAGATTGGAAACACGTTTAAAAAAGAAAAGGAAATTGCAACATATGTTGCCTTGATCATCATGAGAATGTCCAATCCATGCTATTTCTTTCCATGAAAACTTGTGTAAAAAATTCCTAAAAACAAACGATATGAAGGTTTCTCTGGACTGGAATTTGCAATTAATCTGACTGCAAAATACCTTCTCAAAACCTCAATTCTGAATAACATAATTAAGTTTAATACATCATCATAGAACAGCAAAGGCACTGCTTTCATTCTGTTTTCAACTCGAGAAAACCAAAATCAGCACAAGAACATAGCGTTAGCGAACAGGAAGCCGTTTCACTTAAACCAGAACTCCCATATCCAAGTGACGATCTCAAAATTCCATCGTAAAGAAAAGGAAATATATGGGGAAAAGACCCAGAAAAAACATCAAGTTCGTGGTCGAGAAACCATATTTAAGCCGAACACTCCCAATATTTTACAGACAATCTGAAATTTTCATCATAAAGAAGGGCAAAAAAAAATCCGCAAAGAATTCAAATCATCGAGTTCGTGTCCAAGAAACCATTTTTAAGCCAGAAACTCGCGAAATTTTACAGACAATCTAAAAAAAGTTCATCATAAAGAAGGGCCAAAAATCCGGCAAAAAAGGCAATTCATCGAGTTCGTGGTCAAGAAAACATCTTTGAGCCCAAAAAAACCCCCGGAATTTAACAAGAAATCCGGAAAGAAAAAAAAAAAAGACAAATCATCAAGGCATCTTTAACCCAAAAGGGTCATGTTTAACCGACACTCTCAAGATCCCATCATGAATAAGTATAGAATCCAGGAGAAAAAGACGAATCATCAAGCGTTAATCCAAAACTCCCAAATTTAACCGACAATCTCAGATTGCCACCGAAAAGAAGGGGCAGAATATGGGAAAAAGAAGAGAAAATCAACGAATTCTCGATCAAGAAACCATTCTAAAGCCGCGGACTCCCAAGTTTTACCGGCAATCTCAGAGTTCCTCCGACAAGATGGGGAAAACATGGGGAAAAGACGACAAAGTCATCGAGTTCTTGATCAAGAAACCATCCTGAAGCCACGAACTCCATAGGTCAACAGACAATCTCCAACTTGCATCGTCAAGAAGGGCAGAAATCCGGGAAAAGAAAAGGGCAGAAACCTTGGGCGATCGTCAAGGAGCCCCACCTGCTGAACGAAATTGGTGTGCATGACGACGAGAAGGCCGAAGAGCGCAATGGCGAAGGCGAGGTAGGCGTACTCGAGCGCCAAGCGGATCCTCGGGGTGAGGAGTTGCGACAGCATCCCCGACACCCGGGCGTGGACTCGGAGGAACGTCTGCTCCGGATCCATCCCTGGCTCCTCCACCGATCCAAACAAAGCTCCAGATACCGTCCTCCAAAACCCTAGAAATATTTTTAGGGTTTCTATCTTCACTATCCGGCCGCGAGAGAGACGAAGAGAAGAGAAGAGACGAGACGAGAGGAGGATACACCTCCGATTCCTGGCTTCTTTTTATAGACGTCTTTCCCCTTTCTTTCTCATTGCCAATGGAAGTCCTCAAGCAATCCCTCAAAAAGGAAAAGGACTTTTCCTGGTTGGAGAGAGAGAGAGAGAGAGGGGAATGGATGTGATGTGGCTGTTGGGGGTAGTAATGTCATTTTACCGGGGAAGGGTAATTAATGCCATATGACACGAGACACGGACGACGACAAAGAGGCACCGGCGGGGCGTGCAGCGGATCCGACCAATTCTTGGCTCACACCGCATGGCGGATTGAATCCGATAACTAAAAAATATTTAGAAATAAAGGATTAGGTTTAGGAACGGCATCATGAAACTGTGTGTTTAGTACGAACTGTTGCCTTACCAAACATTTATGTCGGTCACGATTGAATGCTTTCTGATTGGGATCCGACAGATTTCTTGTTTTGGGCATTTCAGTTTATCCATCCAATGATTCATTATTTTCTTTATTTTTTTTATTTTTTTAAATTATATATATATATATATATATTTATATTTATATTTATAACTGATAAGTGACTAAGATTTTATTATCAAAGATTGAGAATTCAAAACATCGACTAAAGAAAAGGGGAAAGAGTCATACTCTTATCGTCCGAAATGATAATTAAGCATTAACAGCAAATGCTCTAAAATGAGTTATACTAACTCGAGTTGATTATATCAATACTAAATCGAATCATCCCAAAAAAAAAGAAAAAGAAAAAGACATGCTTTAGATAACCACAATCACCGAAAGAGCATGTCTACTCTGCAAGCCAACACTACAAGATTGTGTTCATCCGAGAGAGAAACATTCGGAAACTAGTTCAGAACTTGTATCCACATTCTCATGCAAGAAATGTACATGATTTTTCTATAGTCGTATGATCAGCAAAAAAAAAAACCAAGTAAAAAAGGAAACAAAGAACAACTTCTACCGCAGAGACACACGCATGCTTCCCAACCGAATTAGACAAGTATGTTTGTAAAGCTTTCGCATTTGAAATCGAAATCAACACGACTAAGAAAGGCAGGAAACAACAAGCGTGAGGAGCTCACAAGCAGATATATAATCTTCTCGGTCGGTGTCTCTTCTCGAGATGTCATCGGAACCAAAGGGCAAACCTTTTTGCCTCCAACATTTGCAAATCTCAAGTGATTCATACTAGAAAGATGGGAATGCCAATCGGTAAACATCAGGTTAAATGTCTCGTTTAACAAACTCAAGACAATATCATGCTTCTTGATCATCAACAAATAAAAGCCAGCAAATGGTACCAAGAGAGATTCGATCGGGTGTTATTCTGCTTTATTATTTCTGTTACTTGAGACGATCTATACGTTCGCTATTGTTAGGCACTTGGAACTGTCGTTGCTTGCTTGGCTTCGAGGGATTTCTCGTACTCCTCGATGGACTTGAAAAGCTCGGAGAAGTTGCCCTTCCCAAATCCTCCGCACCCGCCCTTCTGATACTCTTTTCCTTCCTTGTCCTTCACCATACATCCAATCCTCTGAATTATCTCTATAAATATCGTCGGTCTGCATAAAAAAAATTAAAAGTTAGATTACCACAAAGCGATGCATATTTTGTGATACACAGCCTAAGCCCAATTTAGCTACTCCTATCCATGATCAACAGGAGGGAGAAAACAAGAAAAAACTTTCTTTCTAATAAAACCATAGCAGTAGGGATGTTATGGTGTAAAGACTTGAAAAATAATAATAAAAATTACTAACGATAACCCCACACAGATGATCCACTCTCAACACGTATAATTGTCCTTCCAATTCCAATTTCGTATGCCTACTTCCTAATCGCTTTAGAAGGAAAACTACTTCCTCCATCTTTTAATCAGTCACCAAAAGAAAACAGTAACAAAAAAAAACACCGATTCAGTGTGGCTTAGAACTCCTATGAATTTAGATAGTTTGTTCTCTCGGCCACAAAAGCAGAGATTATTATTGGTTAACTCCTTTGCGCTCGAGCATGAAAAAAATTACAGATTTCAGTTGAGATTGGATGAAAAATCAGCATGGCCTTGATTCATTACGGGAAATCTTTCCGTAAGAACAAAGTTAATTCAGGCCCTGGAAAATGACCCAGGCCTTATTTGAACAAGGCTGTGTATGATAGGAACGGACAACCTAACATACACAACATAAGATTGACAACAGGACTTGTATAAATTTAAGCAGGCGATCTGCAAACTCCAAATGTGCTTATAGATGCACAAAGTAGTTTATCGTTCGAGGCTAGGGTCGAAGGCATCAAATGTGGATTCTACCCCTTGTTGGGCAAGACACACCTAGAACAGCAGCCATTCCCTGGTTGTGCTCAGAATATTTATATGAATACAGTGAATGCGAATTTATCGATACCATCAAATATCCTATCAGATTTTGAACCATCTCTTATTTTTGAAGCCAATGAATTGGGACTACCGGCAGAAATATTCTTGACCTATCAACATTTTTGAAGGCAAGCAGGCATTGCCTTGTGAATATTTGTGGACATGCCTCTTAAGAGTTTTTGTGGACATGTCTGCATGTGCTCTCAGCCAAAAGGCGAAGAAAGGTGTGGCCATGTTCACAAGGAACAGGGGACTCACGGAAAGCTTCGAACACAGTTACCCGATCATAGCTATTAAAGAATCAGTTGATGGAGAATTAAGACAAACGCTCGAGTGGATATGGAACCCAAGCAATCACCATCAAATGTAATGATCTGCAAGAAAGCAGAGAACCAGGGCTCCTGATCACATACCTGTCGCCGACTGGCTTGGTGAAGATTTGTAGCAGCACTCCTTGATCATCCCTGTCCACCAAAACACCCAATTCCTGACACTCCTTGATCTGTTCCTCGGTGAGCACGTCGCCGGCTCTCCGACGCACCCCCTGGTAGTAGTTTGGTGGCGGTGGTGGCATGAAGTCGAACCCTCCCATCCTCGACCGCGCCCTCATCTCCCTCAAGGTCTTCAGCACGTCGTCGCTGGCCAGCGCCAGGTGCTGCACGCCGGCGCCGCCGTTGTGATCCAAATAAGTCTGGATTTGGCTCCGCCTCTTGGTCCCATGGACCGGCTCGTTCAGCGGCACCAGCACCGTCTCCTCGTTGTTCGCGAGGACGACGGAGTTCAGCCCGCTCTCCGCCGTGCCTACGTCGTCCGCCGTGAACTCCGCGAATTCGTGGAAGCCAGTGAACCCAGCAATGTAGCGCACCGCTGGCGCGAGTTCGGGGACGTTCCCGACGGCATGGTCAAGCCGCCGGATGCCGTAGGTGAATGAACAAGTCTCGGACTCGTCAATATCCTCGAATCCAGGTAGGAAAGCTGGGACCTTTATGGGGGTTTGGCGGGCTTCGGAGGGGAACGGTGGGGGCTTCGGGCGGCTAACGTAGCGAAGGACTACGTCGCCGTACAGCTCGACCTCGGCGAGCGCGAACCCCTCGCCGAGGTCGGCCGGGGGGAAGGAGGGGCGAGCGCCGTGGGCGACGCTGATGCGGAAGGCTTCGGCAGCGTCAGCGACCTCGACGGCGATGGCTCGGACCGCAAGTCCGTGGTCGACGGAGAAGCGACGGGCACGGTCGGCGTCGAAGGAGGGGATGGGGGAGGTGTTGGCAGGGTTAGCGGCGGCGTCAGCGGCGGCCGGCCCGCCATAGGGGGCGGAGAAGAGGAAGCGGAGGGAAGCGGAGCGGAGGAGGTAGGAGGCGAAGAAGGGATTACCGGTGGAGAGATCGGAGCGTGCGGCGAGGGGCATCCCGAGGCCGAAGGAGAAGCGGCCGGCAGAGTTGGTGGCGTCGGCGGCCCAGAATTCGACGTGGTGGAAGCCAAGAACGGGGAAGCGGTCGCTGCGGGGGTTGGCCCGGACGAAGCGGGTGAAGCCCACCAGCTTGAAGTTCTCCGTAGCCTCCTTTCCCATCACTCTCGATCTCCCTCTTCCTCTCTCGTGCTCACCCTCGGTTATCGAATTTGGATTCGGATCGCGAAGATAACCGAGAAAGACCATGTCGCATATATATCGAAAGAGGGTAAGGATCCTCTCTGAAGCACCGGGAACAGGAGACAGCCATCACCTCGGAAAACAACGGCAATGGTGTGTCCGAGGCGGCGGGGTCCAGCTCGTTTTGCTTGATGTGAAGAACCTGCTTGCTCTCCGGGCATCACGGAACAGGGGATCCTGAGGACACAAGGGCATGGATAGAGATGAGGGGAGACCCGGTGAGTGGATACCACGGAGGCGGATGAACCTGGGACTCCGAGTTCCGGGTAGGATTTGGATTCCCAGATTTGCTGATGTAATGGTGGAGTATGTGTCGTCGGTCATATCCATTCCACCAAGTTAGATCACATCTAAGCCCGTATTTAAATCCGTAATCGAAGTCTCGGCCACGTCACTCTCCCGTGTTGGGAGCGGGATTTGGTGGACCACAATGAGCGCCGTGGGAGCTACTCAACATCTCACAGGCCTATCCGTTCCCGCCGGATCACCTGTCGCTGTTGCCCCGGCGGCTTCCGTGGCAGCGTGCTATTGGTCGAAACATCTTGTTGTAACCCCGGTTGACTCGAATCAGGGAACGGCTTACCGAACAATTAGATACGGTCAAGGGTCAAAGTAGGCTAGTATTATCTACAGATAGAAACGTCAGAATACCAAGCCAGCCACCTCTTCAGACTTCACTCGCATGGGCTATTCCAGCGGAAGAATGATTGAATCACCTCACATTGGCAAAACAGGCTGATGACACATGGCCAAAGCCCAGAAGCTCATCGAACTTGGCTGCATCCGGCGCACCACCACCACCAAAAATACAAATCATATCAGAGGCTTCTTCTGAGAACTCCTGCATAAAAGAGAAAGATAGGCTTCCTGGGCAAAGTTTGACATCACATGGTTAGAAATCATGGTACACAACGACGACCTCATGCCAGAAAGCACAGCGAGATGCAAATTATTATATTTATGAACATATATGGTGTTTTTTGCTGACTACTCTTTGCTGCATGCAGACCTGAGATCTGCCTGGAATAGCTTCTCAGAGATATCCCGGGAGAAGAAGGATTGAAGTTCCTCAGTTTGTGCTGTTTTCATTTCACCGAGAACGGAAGAGAGGACCGTGTGCCAAGATCATGCCCGCCGCGCAAAGGACTACAAGTGAATAAGCAGCTAATAATGTATCGCCATGAATCATGCATGCCCTCGGACGCAGAAAAATGCCACCCACCGGACTAATCTTGCACTTGAATCTTGTACTCGTTGAAGCTAGTATTTTTCTATTAACAGATCTTCTCCGGGTCTTCTGAGATTCTACGATGCTCCGGTAAGAAACAACAACTTCATTAGCTGTTCGAAGGTGAAGCATCAAGAATGACTAGGAAAAGCGTGAATGATTGAGGCATAGAAATGCACAGTTCAGAAAGAGTTGGCATCTGTGTTCCGAGGAAGAGCACATCAAGCTTTGACACTAAAGTCTCTCTGACCGCACCAGATGGAGGCCAGAATGGAGAGGATTAAGGGTGCGGTGGATTCTCAATCGATAAGTAGAAAAAGCAGCAGTAGATTAATAACCTACAGTTGTTGGGACACACTTCGACTCTCATCTCGCAGTATCATACAAACCGATAGTAGATTCAGCCATCCACCATAAACATCGGTGAACTGATGATTTGCTGATGCAGTCCCGTGAGCAAGTAGCAGCTACAAGCAAACAACACATCACTGAGCTTTCTCGCACAGCAACGACAGCTGATACAACCTATTGATTTGATGAGATTCCTTGGTTTCCAAAGCCAGTACAGCAGCTGGAGGAAACTTCGTGAATCCATACTACTTCATATGTTCTCTATCGCAGCAACGATCGTGATAAATAAAAGAAAATTCAGATGTTGTATGATCGTATGACATGACGATATATATATATATAACTACTATGATTGACCCAAACAAATTGTTTCTGATCGTTTTGGATACCCTTAATAAACTAACACAAATGCAACCACATGCATCCATATTTTTAGTATATATATATATTTTTTATTATATGAAGGAAGGACATCTGAACGCATCGCATGCCGTAATATGATAATGAAAGAGCATTGTCATTAGCCAAGAAAAAAAATATATACATTAGCTCAAAGCTGCACGTATTTGAAAGTCCCATACTTCCTCACTCCACTAAATTAAATACTCTCTTTAAAAAGCAAAAATAATAATAATAAAGGGCGAGGGAAATATTAAATCCCTGAACTGCCCCTCTTCTACGCCATAGGCGCTGGCTGCATACTTAAACACCGAGAAGGGCAAAATGGGAAAAGAGGCGGTAACGGGCGTGATACTCAGGTCGGTGAAGCGGCGGGCGACCGGTCCTCGTCGGGGAGGGAGCGGAAGAGCTCTTCCAGGGCGGGATCAGCGACTGCGGCGGCGCCGGAGGAAGAGTAGGAGGAGAGGAGGAGGAGGCGACGGAAGAGCGGGACTGGGCAGGGGATCCGGAGGACACCTTGCTGCTCGTAGCCGTACTCCTGGGCGGAGCGGCGGAGCAGCTCGAGGAAGGCCGGCCGACCGAGGAGCTCCGCCGGGACAGCGAACCGCTCCATCTCCTCCCCGACGCACACCGGCACGTGCCCCTCCGGCACTTGCCGCCGCTCCTCCCCCTTGGACGCCCGCTGGCCCCCCTTCGCGGTCTGCAGCGGACAATAGAGCGACGAGTCCGCCACCCTCGACAGCCGCCGGATCAGCCGCTTCATCCCTCCTCAAGGAACGAGACCCGGACAAACACCAGCAGAGCAGCGATCTAGGAGTACAAGGGTCGGAGAAGAGCGAGAACGAGGAGAGACGCGAGCAAGAAACGCGGAGAGCGTGAGAGCGAACTGGGGGCTTCTCTTGGTTATTTATATTAGTTATTTTTCAGTATAATATTAATAATAACAACGACTAATTTCTATTTTTTTCCCCCGATAAATAAATGATTTATACTACGGAGAGGTACACGTAAGGAGTACTTGGCAGGTACAGCGGTAGAGATCGAGCGATCCGCTGTTGGTAGCCGACCAGCAAAGGACTCGGAAACGGCACGATCGCCGTCCACGTGAACCTTGATGCGGCCGCCTACAAAGTCTTGACGGTGAGGATCACTCGGCCGCGAGAGGTCGAGACGGTATTTATCGTCTCGGTGGTTCCTCCTTCCGTAGTCCCGTTTGTACGGCGTCGTGAAAGGCGTCCGGTCACGGGCAGCTCGCTGGGGCCCACCCCTCGCGTTACGATATTTATGGCGCGCATTCCGAACACCCGCACCAACGATATGCATCGACCAAATTACCCCGCTCTGTCATCACAAATTGTGCGTGATCATCGTATATATATATATATACACACACAGAGTATATAGATCGACAGTTAGAGGGGATCCGTCACCCCGAGATGTCCGTGTCGGCCGCATGTTCATGCAGTGTCTTAATTGCCGGAAGCAAGCAAACGGGCAGGGATGGCTTCTTCATGCTTGCGTGCGTGTCGCCGGTGGTGACGGCTGGCTGTTGCTGCACAGAAATGCGCGGTGCCTACCTTATAACATGATTCCGGTTCTCATGCGTGCGCGATCCAAAATCTGCTGCTGCGCGCACTGCATGAACGATGCACGGTGCACCAAACGGTTGGGAATCGATAGCTTTCGGAGCCGCGCCTCCCCACCGAACTGCGTGCGCGTGAAGCTTGTGGCTGTCACTGCCAGTGATGCTCGCAACGTGTCTCTGGGGGTCACTGCAGCCGCGGGTCTGTTACACGACGACGGTGACGCTCTCCTAACCCATGCCTATTTTCGTCATCTCAGTCGCGGGAAAAAATGGGTAACGGAACTTGGAGGCGGTCCCGGCGCCGACCTGCGGACGTGGAATTCCACCGCGCGTTTGCGGTCTGAAGACGGATCGCTCCTCTCTCTCTCTCTCTCTCTCTCTGGGACTCACCCGTACGCCGCCGTCCTCGGTTAACCCGCCCCTGTGCCCGTTCCTGACCCTCGTCGTAGTCGGACTTATTCATGGGGAGTTGCGACGTTTCGGACGGCTTTGATGGCGCGCAACCCCGCCGGCGTCTCTTTGCTCCCCTCACTCGAGCTGCACCCGTGATTACAGTTCCGGTGTCCCTGCGGAACGTCTTTTTGGGTGAAAATGCGTTTGGAGGAGGAGTTCCGCCGGAGCAGTTGGTCCCCCGGTATCGGCTGTGTCGGCCGCCTCATCTCGCACGTGTGGAGCGTCATTTGATCGCACGTGACGGCCACCGGTGGATGCGGTCCCCCGATCCCCTAGATCATCTCCCTCTTCCGCCACCTAAACCTTATTAATCAAATGGGCTAATAAGAGATGGCCACGTCGGGAGATTCGTCGTCTCTATCTTTCGCCGCCGGCTTAGATGCTCGCTCAAAAGTAGGAAGGCCCATTTAAAGCGGGTGAGCGTAAGATTCCAACACCGCCACCACACAGCAACTACCCCGTGTAGAAGCGAGCGGTGCTATTAGCAGTTTCCCCCGCAGCCCAGAATTACCCGTCTCGCGTACCGGCAGCGCGATAAGTCCCTCCGCTGGGCTCCGTCGCCACCGGGAATCGCTCGTCAGTAGTAGGTCGGATATCGTACAGGTCAGCGTGGGACGAAACGACACCCATCTTCTGAGACAAAGTGGTCATCACAGTGTGCAGGATACGCACATATCCGACCAACTGTCACGGCCTCTCAGCTTTATCGCATTTGAAAACCGTCAAAGCTTTCATGGTCCTACGTACATTCCGGATCACGGGCAGTACCTCCTCTCTCCCTCCCTTTTGTTCTCCTTTTTCACATCTTTCGAAGTCATGGAAACGAGCGCATGACCAACAACTTGCACACAAGGCAACAAGGCGTGGGAGAACCCAGCAGCAGCTGCTCCAGGAACCTTTACGTCTTGTTCTTACCGTTGCAAGTCAGTGGTCAAAACCAGAGCTTTGAATCTTAGTGCTCGCGAAGAGTGCGAGTGATTTCTTGCCAAACAAGATGAAGTGTAGTCCTAAGCTACTACTCATGTGACTTGGTTAAACAAACTACATAGAAGTTGACGCTTCACCTGTGATGCCTTGTCGTTCATTAGTTTTTCTATTACATGACAAGAGTGCTTGATATGATACCAAAAAGTATAGTTTAGAGAAGTGTCATCCAACTAGTTGGCTAATGGGCCGTGCCACCGAGAAGATAATGTCGGATTTTAGTGCGGTAGACTGCGACAGAATGAGATTATATGAGATAAAAAGCTACTACAGCCATAAGGGTTCGTATCATATCTGCGTCAGCTGAATGATAATAACCTGTAAGCTACTAACGCTAATCTTAAACTATTTGTTCGCTCTATGAGTTCCTTCGAACAGCTTTTCCCTTGCACAACTACACGGTAATCGAGATTTTACTTGGTTCTGGAAATTCCAGACTTCGTCGGTTCTGCTTTCGAGAAGGAATAAGAACTCAACTGTGAAGGATAGAATAAAAAGCAACAGATGGCCGGTGATCATCCTTTCGGTTCTCAGGTTCATACATGATCGTCGCACGATGGATGTCTCCATCTTTAATCGAGTAACAAGACAGAGGGACAGTCTGATATGAACTGCCGATATAATTTATGCCCAAACATGGTGTCCTCTCATGTTATATTTGCCCCCCTTCAACGTGGACTGATCGGGTACATGAGTAGGCATGATGGCAACCTTCCACCTACATTGCCCTGTCTCGTATATCTGACTTCGTGATGGCGAGATTATCTAAACTATAACAAGCATCGAATACATGGAAAGGTCACCGACTTTTCAATAGAATCCTGCAACAGTGTCTCGTTGCGGAAGGTCTCGACGTCTGAGGAGCTTTCGATGTTAGTATCGCGATCTGTATGCCTTTTGTTATTGGTAATGGAGGGACGAGGTGGATGTGTTCTTGCACCTTCTCCTTCGATGCGTTTCCGCTGCGAAAAGAAACCCTAACTGGAAGGTGCAACCGAGTTCTCATGCATGGATCGTAAATAATTAAAAGTCTGGACGATTATGTTAACGAGGACGAGTCATTCTATATATAAACACGCGAACATCAATCTGCGATGGAGCTTACCGAAACAATCAACTTTCCTTCCAATTCCTGTGGGCTGCAAATAATGTCGATTCAGCAAAAGGACAAGAAAACAAGAGCAAGATCATGGAGATTGGACCATTCAGTGGGACGTACAATAGACTCGAGCTCATTAGATTGGACCATTATAAATTCGACGACGATCACGTGAAGTGTGGAGCCCATGCACCAGCGTCCAGTGCGGAAGATGACGAAACAACAGGATGAACGACGATCCGAACAGATATGGTGATCCATGGGTGGATCTTTTGTTCATTCTCGCAAGATTAGATATGTACACATAATAAATACTTGAGAAGCTTCCAACGATCAAGTGGTAGGAACGATCGGTGATGTACTGTTCATCAGCAGTCAACAGCTTACACAGTCGTCCGCCAAGTCGCTGCCGCATGCAGACAAGCAGCAGGAGGGCAGGCAACATCGATAATGAAAGATGCTTCATCACTCATGTGCAGTGTAATTTGTCAGCTTCACATGGAAGACTGTAAGGGCTACTGTTGCTGATTCAAGAAACTTCTCCTAGTCATTCATACTTACTTTCTTGGAACTTTTGTGAATGGCCCATTGATCTGAATGATGGAAACCTTTGGTTGGTTACCTTCATGTTCACCTGAACTCACCATTTCTCTCAGATCAGGCAATGTGTGTGTGTATGTGTGAGAGAGAGAGAGAGAGAGAGAGAGAGAGAAGCGAGATGTAATGATGCTAAAATCCAGATCGAGGACAAAAGATCTGTATCTAACATGGAGTAGAAGACGACAAGGATACGCTTGACCCCCACAGGTTCGTGGTGCAAGAGGATGCGTCCAGCCCAGTCATGGCCGGCCATCCTTGCCCAAGAACCCGACCCAAGGTAGATGTCGAATTAATGCGGATATCCCTCGGTGTGCTTGGTATGTGATTCATGCATTCGAAAAAGCTTCCCATATGTATGCTTAGAAGATAAACTGATAGAAGATAATATTTTTTCAACTATATGAGAAAATCTCTCTGTTGAGAAAAATCATCTATTCTATAGGGAATAAGGAGAACGAATGGCGGATTTAAACGCCTGTGCCCTCACAACAACAGGCAACAATAGCAACGATTTGCTCTTGCCCTACTCATAAAGTCTCTCGCTTATAAACCATTCTTTGTATTAATCCAAGATCGGGGACATGATAGAAGATAAGATTTTTTCAAATATATAAATAGGATAGAGAACATGTTAATATATTGAAGCATTTTTTATTTCTTCAATAAAGTTTTTTTACGTCTTCAATAAAACTTCTTCAGTAATTATTCTTATCTTCTATTCTTTTCATCAAAACGGAGACAAACGTTTACATAAATTAAGTTTTAGATCAATAAAACTTCTTCAGTAATTACTTTTATCTTTTATTTTTTTTCATCAAAACCGAGCCAAAAGTTTACATAAATTAATATTTAGATTAATTGATTTAAACTGTTTTAAATGATGGAGTAAAAGCTATATGACGGAATCTGTCAAAGAAGTTCTGAGTAGTAATATTATTCCTCTCCTCCAATGTTGAACGTAAGTTTGACGCCGACTTTTATTCTCAGTTTGACACATATGGTGGGTAGGACATCCTATCTGATAAAGAACGTGTTCTTATTTTCCGGCAAGTCAGAATAAAGAATGCGTTAACTCCAGCCGCACGACATCATGTGGGATCGAAGTTTTGACTGTTCTCCGTATATGAATCCATGAGTATCCAA